GTTGTGTGTGTGTCTCGCCCCCATCTTCGTCTCCATCTCCCGACCTCGGATCGACAACTTTCCATCAACGGAAGTCGACCGCATCGTCCTGGAGTCGTCGAGACGGGATGGAAGTGTTCATTCTCGAACAAGGGACACTCCTTTAAAATGGGACTATCGTGGAACCACAGGAGAGGAAGACCCAGAGGCCGCAACCGCCGCAGAACTTCAAAAGATCGCGGAAATTTTGTAAGCTTCTTTCGTGTTTATTGAAAATAAACGGTTGTGTTGTTTGTAAACGAAGCATCTATCTCTGACTCAACTGCTTCCACATGTCGTTGATTGTTACCGCTCGGCAATCCAAACGGCAAGGGAGACGATGACGATATATATCACATATTATCGTTCGTTGAGTTATATTTCTCCCCCCTCGGCCCCCACAAATAAATTTGTATTATAAAAATCAAAAAATAAACAAAAGACATTTTCTTAGACAATATTTCCATTTACATAACAAAAGACAATATTTCCCATTTAAAACACAATATTTCCCATGGAAATATTGTGTTTTAAATGAAAATATTGTCTTAGCAAGAGATGGCACCTAATGCCTAACTCTAATACCAAATTATCTTATAACTATAATCTTTTTGTGTATGTAAAACTATTATGTGCTCCATCCTACCACACACCTGATTTTTGAGGTGTCAAAACTAAAAAACAGTTAACTTGCAACATGCAAAAAGTAAATGTATTTAAAAGTAATAAATGCATTTTGAAATGTGTTTTATTTTCATGTTTACAATATTTCACATTTTTGAATGTATTTATTTATTACTCAAGTATTAGGTACAGAAGATTTGTAGACCAATACAAAATCACAATTAAAATTACTATATGATCAACATTTTAACAGGAGATGTTGGTATGCACAAGCATGAAATTTACCATATACAATATCACACTGAAATATCTGTATAAATGTTCTTCAACATAGTGAAGAACTCTTTGCTTAAACATAGTTCCACAGGAGACTTGTCTGCTGGACATCATTTGCTTGTCTTGCTGTAGTTCAAAAGATCAAGAAATCCTTCCAAAACCAACACCAAAATTAAAACCAAACTAGGAGGGAAGTTACCATGTCTATACTGAAAACATAATACATGAGAATTGCCAAGTAGAATAAAGAGCAAATGATGCAAATGAGGCTGCATTAAATCAACTTTGTTCCTGATTCTAACTCTAACGCACACCCCTATTTTTGAGAGCAGAAAAGTCCAAGAAAAAGGTGTGCATTAGAATTGAGAAAGCACTGTATTTAAAAAAAATGCAATAATGTATAGTCTTCCAAATTTGTTATTTTATTTATTTATCACTTGTAAAACTCAAATGGTTCCAAAAAGAAGCATTTCAACAACTTTTCTAAGAATAAATAACCCTTCATAGAAATTTTAATTCCAATTAAGAGACAAATTAAATAATAAGAATAAAGTTTACTTTTATTATATAAATAAACATGATACTTTTTCTGTTAATCTATTGATAATATTAGGTTAGATTCTGTAGAGTCATTTCTGAATCCTGATGAATACAAATAAACATCCTTCAAGATGTACATTAAACAAAATTTTTAACTTTTTATAATGGCCGTATTCTCAACAAAGAATCAAGAGTTAGAAGTTAACCAATTACAGTTCAATTTACTTTTAGTATGTGAATGCTTACTGGTTAACTTCTAAACTGTAGATCTTAACTGTGAACACAAAAAAATTTGAATACTGATAACTAAAAAAATATCTACCATAAAAAAAGTATTTGCCAATCAAGATTTTTACAGAGATTTACAATTCCTATGCACTAGAGTGTACAGAAATTTATTATCGACATTATTATTACTGCTTTTTTATTCTGAATTTTAACAGTAATAGTTATAAAGTATTCTAGGTTAAATTGCACAAATAGAACTCCAATGGTGAAACTTCCAGTTGTCATCTTATTTGCAAACATGATGTCTGCAAGAAAGATGGTGTCAGCATAACATAAATAATAAATGCATAAACTTCTACTCATTGAAAAAATATGGCTAAATTGTTTTTCTTTGAATTTGGAATAGCACTTGAAGTAGATGGCTTCTCTGTTTATTTCTTGTTCTGCACACTTTTCTTCACAATACTCTTTGGTGCCACAGGTACTGTCTCAGGTTCATGTCACACTATAGCAGTGTTTTTCAACCGGGGTGCCGCGGCACCTTAGGGTGCCTCGGCGCCACGATTGGAGTGTCGCAAAGTTTAGAGCCTTTAGGCATTTTCTTCGAAATTTACTTAAGTGTAGTTCAAGATAACTCATTGTCAGTTCTATTTTGCTACGAGATATCTAGTAAGCAAAGAAACTATGACTAATCGCATGTTAATGTAATGTTCTATGCTACGTGTACGCACGACTTCGCCCAAACCACATTGCTTGGCCTTCATGTTCCCAGTCCCAGTACCAGAGAAGAACGACATGGACACTTGTGTCTTGTATATGCATTAAAAAGCATTGCATTGTACTTTGAAAAGCGTGTGGTTTTAATCACAAAGTAGGTGCATATTACAGTATTTTCGTAGTATTCAAAAGCAATGATGACAAATAAACAATTTTTTATCATTTTTTTAACATAAATTTTTTAAATTGATATGAAAAAGATAAGAAAAAAATAATGAAATATTTATTTTATATATGCATCAAAATAGTATAAAAAACGTAACAAATATCAATAAAATGATAATATAAAATGATGATATATTTGATAATAAAACTATATTTAAAAAACAATAGCGAGACTATTATTTTACATGTAGGTATTTCGACGAAATTCAATGGATTTAAATTTTGATTTTGAACACGTAGAAACACTTTTGCGTTGCGCGTAATATTCATTTTCGCAAAAAATTCATCTGGCCCATTAGTCCCTCCTTATTCAGATTCTAGATCCGCCGCTGGTCAAGGGTGTCACGATTTGTTATTTTTCAATTAGATGTGCCACTCAATGAAAAAGGTTGAAAAACACTGCACTATATTATGTTCTGCTCTTGGGTAGACTTTTGTTGTATGCTCAACAAAAATCTTGAATCATTCACCAGGTTTTAATCTCTCCCAACTTAACAGTTTTTTTTAATACATAAAGGCATGAAGATAAAAATCAGATAGATCCTCAGTGTAGTGTGATGAAAAATTCTTTCAATTCATTAGGCAGCCTCACAAACAGTCAATTTTCTGAGTGTGCACTCCTATAGAAGATCCACAAAATGTTCAGCATGTTTCACTGTCTCATGTTTTATCTCAATTCCCTCCAAATCATCAATATGGTTGTAGCCTTTCCATTCATTTATAAAAACTGTGCTCCCTTAATTTACATATTTTTAATTATCCAATTTAGACTGTATTCCATCCTGTCATTTACTTTAGTCACAATGTAAGAATTATCTTTGCAACAGATGCTTCTGATTACCAACCTGGTAACTTTCAACAATCTTCTTTTTTCATACTTTCATTTAAATATGACTGTCTCATTAATCTTTACAGTCTTGCCAAGAATACCAATTTTCATAGAAGTTAAATTAAACAGAGAAACCATCATATGTTGTATGAAGTTTTTCCAGTCTGCAGCTGTTTGATTGCTCAAGCTCACTACTACACACACCACATTCAAGATTCAAGTGACACTCTGTGCAAACTAAATGTCATATGAAGAATAGTATAATTTTGCCAAATCTGCTTCTGAATGCTACCCTCAAATGCTAAAGTGAAAACCTTGCATATATTACAGAAGAAAGCTACCAATTTTCAGTCCTCCCAAAAAAATATTTTCTGTTGGCCATAACATGTTTGACAAAATGCCTCTGATGGTTGAAAACCCAACTTAATAGCAAATTTTATGTCCAATGGAATACACTTCTCAATTTCAATTTCAAAAATACATATATAAAAAATTGGAAAAATTCCAGGAAATACAATACATAATAAATGACAACCGTTTTTCAACTTCACACCAATCTTCCAATTACCACTACAAAAAAAGGTTCAGTACTGATCAGGACACCAAAATAAAAACTCGCTGCCAATAAATCATCAAATCACAATGTTAATAAGGTTAATAAAAGTAGGGTTTCATTTGTGAAATTTAACTATATTTTAATAAGTTTAAAGAGAATATTTGGTCTTTCATGAAGAGATAAGATACCTAATCAAATAATTCTTATGGAAGCAAATAATTGCTCTTAACAATTCTCACATAGTGACTTTAAATGACTTCAACCAAAATGGCTTTGACATCACTCAGAGCACCTTAAACCTTCGAATATCTTAGCTCTCATATTACATAATGCTATAAAAAACGAGGCAGAAGCAAGCAAAAGCGCAACTCTTCTAATATATTGATAGTTATATATTTGTGAGAATACGAGGGGTCAGTGCCCTCTAATTGTAAGATCTGAAAGATCCGCTCACTTTGTCACGGGATGGCTTAATCTTAAAAGAGTTTGAGTGAAAAGTTGTGGGGTTGTGCAATTAGATGTAAGCAATAATAGAGGAGTCCATTAATAAACTCAACAAAATCAAACATTTAATAAAAATAAAATAAAGAAAATACAAAAATGGAGATATACCGGACCTAAGTTCCCTATGTCGCGAGAGAGAGAGAGTTTACAATAAATTCATATTACCTCATTGGGCATTTCGATGGAGCTGGTTTGCTGTAGTGAGGTTAGGCTGGACTTCGTTGTAAAATGGTTAGCAGGATGAGTAGCAGGATGAGTAGCAGGAGGAGTCCTATGTGGCACGAACTGCCTCGAGCAAGCAAAAATGTGCCCTTTTTATCTTGATTTTCTCCCAATCACCACCTGAGAAATTCGTCAGCTGACAGGAAGATCAGATGTGTTACCCAACCAGATGATGTGAGAAAATCAAGATAAGGCATATATTAAAGAAAACTAAATTTTCCTTTTTCCTCCAAGTAGCATTAGCCAGCAATTTTTCAGGATGTTGCTTTACATTTTTGTAGCTTTGTATTATACTAAATTAAAATTTTTAAAATATTTAAAAATGTATGTATATAGCTAAATAGCCCCTTTTGTAACAGCTGCTAACCGGTCCAGCCCCTCACATATTAATTATAATATTAAAATATATGTAATATATTAATTCTAATAATGCAATCCTCCAACAATCTCATTACTATATACAAATTAAAAATCTGGCCGCCAATAATAGATATCTTTGGCATCAGAAAATTGCTAAAACTTCATTTCCAATCATGCCTAATTTCTCTGTCTATCTTTCATTAAATGTGATAAATAATTATATAACTTAATAGTCAATTACTAACAGTGTATTTTGATCAACTATTAAATTATGGTATTAAAATACTAGCTGATATATTATTCTTTTATATAAAACAATTTACTATAGTTAAAAAGTCTGAATCTAAAATATCAAAATTTCAAATGGAAATAGAATGAAATATTTTATGTACCAATATAAATATATAAAAATCTCATAATTAAAATAAAGAATAATAATGTAAATGCTCACCGATACACTGAAAACTTTAGATTTAACATTTTTATATTTATTTGGTCCCATTTTCTTCTGCAATAACTTTAATTTTTCTTCCTCTTTTTGTTTACATTTCTCTTGGATTTCTTTTAGTTTTTTAAAATTTTCTTTGGCATAATCTTTTGGTTTTGGTTCTGAAAACATTTCATCAAAATTACTAAATTACTTTTATATACTATCTCATTAAGTATTATTATTATAATTAATTTTTAAACTATTATTGTTATTTATCATTAAAATTTAAAAATACTTGGTTTAGGTTTTGGTGGAGCTGCTTCTAAATGAATATCTTGTAGTAGTTGCCCTATAGTTGAAGATATATTTCTGGTTTGATACATTGCTCTTTCATTCGCCATTATTTAAACTAACTAAAAAATTCAAAGTTATATTAATAATTTTAATTTTATATCTGAGATCCTTATCTTTAAAATACAATATTAGAAAATACTTAATAAAAAGTACAGTTTTTTAAAATTAGGAATGTAGTATTTCAAAACTATAATAAAATTATTGTACATATGAAATACTTCTCATAGCAATTAATTAATTAAAAAAAATATTTATATATACACTGGTATATAACATATAAACAGGGTCAGCTCATGTAAAAATCACAGAAGAATGTAAACATACTAAAGTCATCCAAGGATTTGCAAATTTTATATCAAAATATATCACATTTCCTTGACTCTAAGATGCACTTTTTTAAATCTATCTTTATTTGTTCAAAGTAGCTTGTCTTACCATCATCATGCAAAGCTAATATCAGCTATCACAAAGTTCTACATCATACACTATTAATAATGATTTTGGCTATACTACTCAATGGTCACATTAGTTAATGTTAAAATGAGATTTGCTAGTAATAAGTGTTTAATTTAAACTCTATTTTAACATCTGAAATATCTTCAAGATAATATAATGATGCAGCATTAAGAGTTATTGTATATGCAGAAGAGCATGGAAAAAGAGCTACCAAATATCTATTTGATGGCATTTATATCATATTGTTTTACTAACTTTTTACTTAACAAAACTTAATAAAATTGATTATTTTGAAATTTAAGTTCTCTCCATGAAAAAAATTCTTAAAGTTTTATTTCAAACTTGTGATGCATCTCAGAATCAAAGAAATACAGTAATTTTACTTTTAATGGCACAATTAAATTTGTTCCAATTATTTTTGTATGGAAGCACTATTACTTGCAGGCAAAGTGTATAATCTCAAGTGTAGTAGTTGTCTATGCTTGTCACAGATCTATGATTAAAGAGCAATTGAAAAGATACATGTTCAGGAAAAAGAGTTAGCTTTATGCTGTACATGTATCTTTTCAGTTGCAGCTGATATTCTTGAGGCAATTAAGGCAGTAAATTTTAAGTTTTCTTAAATTGCAATATCTTACTTGAAATTCAAACCAGGTTCATACTGTTTGGTTTTATTCAAAACCACATTCTTTGATTATAATTTTTTCATACTTTATTATTATTTTTTACCAGAAAATGCCAAGTTTTCAAAGTCAAAATTTAATTTGAGCCATCCAAGCATATATATGTGGTACTACATAAAGTATAATATATGTTTTGTAAGAAGTCTAAATGAAAATATGAATAACTAGCAATTATTTATTGTGACAACATCGTAATGCTGGGTTGCAATTTTCTCCACCTCAAATTAGTATTCTTGAGACTCTATTGCTAACAGGAAAAGTATGATGTATCTATCTAATTTCTTTCAAGGAAAAATTTTTGAACTGGAATAACATGACTTCCAGTTTGAACTAGAAGTTTGTATATAGTTAATTGGGGCTCCTGCCACACCTGGTCTTGATTTTCATCTAAAAGCTGTTATACACGTTACGTTAAATCCTTTGAGGATTAACCATGATTTTTTTTCTATCTATCCACCTTTAAATAAAAATAATTCTTTATACGTTGGGAAATATTTTAATAAGTTTTGTAAATTACTATGTTCGATTCAGCCAGTTATATCCAATTTTTTTTCGTCTGTTAAGTACATCCTTTGAGGATTTCCGTAACGTGTATAACAGCCTTAACTCTGTTCTCAAGATTAAGGAAGGACATGATTAAAAATAAGAGTCCTCTAAGTGCCTACAGGGTATAAAAAGAAAAAAGTTTGTCTAAGGCCAGATGTAACCACTGATGCAATGTCAATGATTACATGAAACCACCAATAGTTTTGAAGCCATCACACTGCACTACACAGGTCAACAGAATATGATGTATTCACCAGATATTACTAAGGACATGCAGATATAAGGACAGGTAACATATGTATGAACAACACCTGCCACCTACAATTCTTATTTGACTTTTTTAAATACAAATTGGAATATTTTGGGACAGTCTAGGAAAAATTTTCTAGACTGTCCCAATTAGGACAAATTAGACAAATCTCAAAAATTCAGGAGTATGACAACTTTACACAGAACAGACTGCATATCTGATGTGTATTGCAAGTATCTTAACATAAACCTCTTCATTCTAGTCAGTAGTCTTTTTCTAAAGTTATTGCTGTATGCATACATGGTGACTGAACATATAGTATTGTTTTTACTGCTGGTATAGCATAGTAGCACATGCTGGCTGAAAAATAGCCTGATTCATATATACATATTAAATCATACAGTAAGGATATGTAAATAAAAAATCTGCACAAAACTCAAACTTCTTCACTTTTACAATACAATTATCCAGGAACAAAAAATTGAGAAAATTATTTTCATCTGTCTCTAAATTATGGAATCTGGTCCACAATCAGTGGCTTTTCTGATTTTAGTCTTGATGTCAGCCATCAGAATTCAAAAGTGCTCTGAATTAAATAGGCAAAGCTTGGACTTGGACTTGATGCAGTCCACTTCATTGTTGGCAAACCACCCATTTTCATATACCTGTTTCAGATAGTGCCAAAATTATTCAGTTGGTCACAGCTGAGAAACATTTGCAACATTGTCCTCTTTGCTAACATAAAGGACTCCATATTCCTCTATCATGGAAACTGTATTGGCCAATTAAAGAAACAATGTTTAGATGATGACAGTTTAGAGATAGTCTAGACTACAGTTCAGAAAAATTTTGTTGCAGAGATGACGTTTCTTGTTTGCTGCAGTTTAGATGGCAATTAAAAACTGGTTATTTAGTCTACTTTTTAGACTTGCTCAACAGCAGGTTTAGATGGCATTTTAATTTAAGTGGAAGTTGTCACATTGTTTTGTTTGTTGCAAAATTTAGATAAAAAAATGGATATCATTTTTTTGATAAATGTTGTAAATAAGATGAATCAACAAAATTATTCATTAATTAATTGCTTAGATCAGAAATAATATAATTAAATGCTTTAAATGTTCCAATTCCAATATTCAAACAGGTGAAGACTTAAGACTACAATTAAAACAGATGCTTTTATTTACAACTGAACAATCATGTTGATTATAAAATTTTAATGCATTTCAGGGTCATTATTGTTATAATCTCCTTGTCAGAATGTTCTGTTAAACAAATCTTAATAATTACTTCAATCTTTTTATAGAAATAAAAATAAAAGTAATAAAATATTTAAAATTATTCAGCTCAACAATTACGAAGGGAGAGAGTAATACAAGATACAAATAATTCCTTAAAAATCTATTCTGAAGACAAATTCAAATTAAGTATAAATTTTCTAAATCTGGAATTGTTCATATTTTAAATTGTATTGACAAAGAAATTAAACATTGAAATGGAAAAAGATTGTCATTAACTGCCGAACTGTGTTTGTTGACGGTTTTAAGATTTTATTCTGCTGGAAGTGTCCAGAAGATAGATGGCAACCTTATTGAAGTTTTTCTTGACATCACAAATGAATAACCTGATTGGCTGAACAACTCCTAAAAGAGGGGAGTAACAGCGAAGAAAATAATAGCTGTTTTGTTGAGGTTCATTTAGATCAGGGGTGTCCAACCTTTTTGTTTCTCTGGGTCGCATTGGAAGAAGTAAAGGAGTTGTAGGCCACAAATATATATAATATATACTTGTGGCCGAATATACAAGTATATTTAAGGACTAACATGTGTAGATAATAATAATAAATATTATAACTNGAAAAATATAAAAACAATAAAAAATTATACTTCAGAAGTTAATTTAGTATCAAAAACGTAAAATATTTGAGTAGCCCAAGACATAGCCAAAGATTGCAGCGCCACAGCACTGGCGAAAATTTAAATTTGCCGACTGGAATTCTTTCGGATGATTGACTTTCAGATAATCGACGCTCTACTCTAATATGTAACCGAAAAAGTAGCCAAAGCGCCAAATGATATTTTTTACGTCAAACCAAAAAAGTAGCCACATTAGGCCCAATGTAGCCAAATCTTGCAACGTTGGAAGAAATACTAAATAAAGCTGGAGTTGTGAATCAAAGGATTATAGACCCAAGTGCGGAAAAAAGAGGCAAAAAACAAAAGATAAAGAAGTGAAAAAGGTTGAAAAATTACGGGTCCATATTTGCTTAACAGATCTATTTAACATTTCTCACTACTAAATCTTTTGTCCTTTCTCATCTTTCCCTCCTTTTCCCAAATTTGGGTCTATAATCCTTTGAGTCCTATAATCCACGACTCCAGCTTTATTTAGTAATCCTTCCGCATTCACACATCTCCAAGTATTTGAAAATATTTTCTTTCCACTCAAAAATAAAATATGAATAAAGGTTTACGGCTTTGTGAAACCTTTTTTGAGTTTATGCCAATGAAATAAATAAATAATAAAAAATTAAAACATTTGTAGATTTTGTTTACATGTTTATTGGGCCACATTGGAACTTACCTTGGGCCGCATGCGGCCCACGGGCTGGACACCCCTGATTTAGATGGTGTTCAGAAATGGATGATCATCATCTTTGTAACTCATTTTAAACCACAGTTCAGTCAGCCAATGTCTAGACACTGTTCGGTTGTTATATGTTGTTTAACGTAAACTCTGTCTCTGTAATGTGCTGTATACATTGCATCATGTGCAGCTGCAAGGTCTGACCAGAAGGCAACAGACCATCTGAATGGTGTTTCTTGAAGAATGGGATCAGCCTCCTCTTAATATACTCTACTTGCATACACTTCTTTTCTGATGCAGATGCAGGAGGATGTTATGAATGCTTGAAATTTCCTTTCAGACTGATTGCTATCTAAACCAACATTTTTGAGAAAAATTTGCACGGCAATTAAATTTTATAGATCAATCTCAACCCCCATCCTTACAACAGTACATGTTGTTCCCAGTGCAGTCATTTCTATCAAAGGTAAAATACAACTCATCATTCACCACAACATCTAGTTCATTTGAAGTCCCGAAAACACCCTCATACATTTTTCACATCAGTTGTTTTTTTGTATGTTTTAGAGCCAACTTTCACTTCCAAAAGATATTTTGCTGAATAAAATGTTTTTAGCAAACTGATGAGATATTTTAAACTTTCTTCCAAGTTTTCTTAGTCACCGTCCAACTTTCCCAATCATCTCTCTTTCCAAAGACTCCCTTTAGTCATCTGTCATTTCTAATTTTTCCACTCGTTGGAAATCTAGCAATAGTCTTACCACTTTTTAGCCTTTCTATGATGCTGTAAACTGTCCTCTTTGCCATTCCTATATCTATAAAATGCTTAACTAAGAAACTTTTCCCCTTTTCTATGTTTGTAAAATTCGCCAACTACAATTCTTCTTTCCTCTTCACTAAGCTGCTCTGGTTTGTTTACATTTGGAATATTGTTGCTACAACAACATGAATTTAAATCTAGATGAGTCTGAGCCGCAATCAATGCCAACATATTGTCGAATTGAATTGAAAATGTCATCAAATTAATGTTGTCATTAAAGACAAACAGAAAGTGATTAAAAAATAATAATAATAATTCAATTAAAAAACATATCATGTCAGTATTTAATTTTAAAACCTAAAATAGAGTAATTAAGTTCAATGTTGGAACAAATATCTTCACCTTTAAATGATTATTTAATTAATAAGAAGTTTCGAAATAAAATCTTTCACTCACGCTTCGTATTTTCGATCAACAATTTTCAAATTGTTTTGACGACTTTGCGCCACCTGAGAAAATTTCAAACTTTTTTCTTTTTTTAAAAAAATTCACTAATAACATTTTTTAAAAAATTTTATTATAAACGCTACCTTTTATCAAATAATAACATATTTTTAATAGATATTTTAAAATTAGAATAATAACATTTAAATATAATTAAAAACTCTCATATTTTGAATTTTTAATGTCGATCCAGAAGTCGGCAGGATGACCCAAACGGTTATCCTGTAAAATAAAATGTTTTTATTCTAATAATATATATAGGTTATGTATAGAATATATTGCAGTATTTTGGAAATTTGAGATTTAAACATAAATAATAATGTCGACTTTTTATTAACGGCTTTATTAGAAATATTTCTTCTCTGACAAAAATATGCCGATTTGTAATGAAAATAATTATTTGTAAAATTTCAAAGAAAAATTCTTCATTCTTAATGTCCTGCCAATAATGCTATTAAACAGCACATTCCACCGGTCAAAATACCAGAAATATTTCCCCAAAATGTTGATTTTCCATGTAGCAAGTAGACTATAAAAATCGTAGCGATTATAATCCAGAATCTGTGTGCAACGCAATTATCGACTTTATAAAAAGGCAAATAGTAGCATAAAAATGTATCGAGAGAGAAATTAACTCCAGAAAATCCCGTTATGCATTCTTCGATGTTATTTGGCCATTTCAGTCCAACGAGATACAAAAACATCACTAAGATGAGGTTACTTGAAACGATGTTGAAGAGTAAAAGGAATGCGAACTTTATACTTCCCAATCTGTTTTCCAGGTTACGCCCCAGAAGATAGAATGAAAACATATTAAAGATGAGATGAATTATATCGTTGCAACAAAATGATGCTGAAATTAACCTTTTCCATTCGTGGTTTTTCAAGATCCATTTTATACTGATGCAGGAATCTTCACAAGCCAAATATGGATAAAAGAAGTTAGTAACTTGTAACAATATGACAGGAATCGTAATGATACACTCTAGCATGATCGCAACGTTTGATGTAATTATTGCGGTTATTAAACAATAACGACAATTATTTGTTTTTATAAATGTTTGACTATTATCTTTTAATAATATTAATGTAGAAGTTTATTTTTAATTTTTTTTTATGAATATGAGCATGACATAAATAAATTTTGCAAATTGTATATTATTTTTGTAGTCATAAATGTTAGTTCATATTGATAAATTTAATCATAATTTTCGATGTTCAATATGAATATACTTTTCTTTGTATCTATTCGTTTTGACTGATACCTATATAACAAAATAAAACAGATTAGAAATAAAAATTAAAACTGTTCTGACAAATGCTTCATAATGTTCATATCTACATGGATTGTTTGTGTTATCTAGCATTGAAGCTTGACATGCCCATTTAGTATCATTCAGAAATTGAAAAACGGGAACCGACATATCTGGTACCTGCCCTCCTGAAGATCCACGTGAGCGGCCACAACTTCTTCAATTAGACCCAGCAGGCACCATGCAAAGAATTCATGGAATAGCCGCCTCATTAGCAGGTGAAGTTTCACACTCGTGAGACTTCACTTGCTAATATAGTCTCAATTCGGACTCTGGGGGTTCCGAGATTTAATTCCTTACCACCCGGCGTCCCCGGGTAATAAGGAACTAGACATACTCGGCATGGCCGAGTTCATAATGGGCACGGAAAAAAACCTTTTATTTCTTTCTAATCTATGGACACTAAAAAGAAAAAAAGTATCTGGCATGCTAATCATTTAGCATTTTTTCTTTTGTTGTTAGTTTTTTGCTATTTTCGTTTAAATAAATTATTTATATACAGTACTAATAAGTATTTAAATTAGAATATTTAAAAAATATCTTTATCCATTCTTTCTTTTATTGGAATATACCAGTATATGTATACATTCATTCAAAATATTAAAAATTATTAAATTAGAACTTATTCTTTAATAAAAAAAAATAGTCTAGCAAAAATATAATTGTTATAGTTTTANTTTCTCTCTTAAGCCACTCTTTTCTAACCCAGTGGTGTGTTTTGTCTCTGCTATCCCAGAGGCACAAGAAGCAAGGATATTTGGTGTAGCCAATTTGCTGTCCAAGGAGAAAGTTTACCATTTTTAAGTCTACACAAATTACCCATTAATGTTCACGATACTTTATCTTCTCCTAGTAGAGGGCTTTTAATTTATGAATGTGCACGTGTAGCATGGTTGTTATCATTTCGTTTATTCTGACAGGTGATTTTTCGTTATTTATTTATTTCCATCTTTGTTAAGAAACGTACTCAACGAATAACAATTTAAATATAAAATGTAACTAATTTATTACCGCGAATAATTGAGTAATCGAAACTTTCTCGTATTTCAGAAGTATATGAAAAGTAACTGTTAAGTAAAAGAGCTTAACAGTGTGGAACAGAATTTGATTATATTTTCGGAATATTTTCTAAAAATGGAGGAGACTCAAGCAGAAAAATTGACAGTCGATTCTAATTCAGCAAAAATGTTATCAAGTACAATCGCTGAAACATGCGAAGAAATGAAAGAAACTGAAAATGTAATCAACCATAATATAGTAAACAGTGAACAGTGCAAAGAAAAGACACGTGAGACAGGTGAAGTGAAAGAAATTGAAAATACAATCAATGAAAATACATTGATAAGTAATGAAGATTGTGAAGAAAGCAATCTTATTGAAGTCAAATGTGAAATAGATACTAAGGACAAAAAGATTGAAAACATAATAGATGATGACATTTTGATAAATAGTGAACAATACAAAGAAAGCAATGTTAGTGAAGATACTTGTTGTGTTAATATAAATGAAAGCAATTTAGAATCAGTGGAAAATTTTGAAGAACCTGAAGTAAGTTGATAGAATATGTTTAATATTTAGTAATTGGCCATTTGTTAAGTGAACTCTCTTATAATTTCCAGTTTAGCATGCTTTCTAGTAAATCTTTTAGTGCCAGTGGCCAAGTGGATAAAACCACTGAACACTGTTGATTATGAGTTTATGCTTCCTCAATGGGCTGGCCATATGAAATTTTCCTGGTTTTATTCACATATCTAACACTTAACTAGGCCAGTTTCCCCATACAAAGTCCTCCTGGAAGGCAGATTGTCCAAATGTTGTGATGCTTTATTTCATCAATCCAGTCTAATGTTTTGAGTATATGGTATTATCTATGGCAAATCTTTAGCTTTGAGATCTCCCTAAATTATTAATTGAAAACTTTTATAATGATTTAAATTATTATTCATAATGTTTAATGATGACAAGATTAAATATTTTGAAGGAGATTTGAATTTAAGTCTTTTATGTTGAAATGCATGCTTTTGTTAGTACAGACATGTAGAATGTTTGTACTAACAAAAGCATGCTTAATTGATTGTATTGGTGCATTTTCATATGTCCATTTAAAATGGACATATGAATTAATAATTAATTTTTTATGGTAATAAAGGCTCATTATTCAAAAATTACAACAAGTATAAATTATGAAAAAAGGAATGTAAACATGTAAACTGTTACATAACACAGGTCAACAGTGGTTTTGGTGCCCAGGTATTTTGAGCTGATTTCATATGAATTTGATGTCCTGAATTCAAATATGGCATTAGTTTTTGCCTAGGAGCTCTAATTTTTAAGATATAGCATTTTAGCGAAATATATGTTTTAATATCTTAAGTTAAATCCATGGATCAAGTAAAAAAACTAAACACGGAATTTTTATTATAATATTATGCAAATATTATTCTATACAAAGATAGAGGAAAAAGTCATCAATAAAACTAAACAGTTACACATTGAGGAAGCTTTTTTTCCGTGATTTTCGTGAATGTATTTTGGAGCAATCCCTTTTTAAACTCCAGCAGTAATCTGCCATCATATGCATATCCCATCTTCCTTGGTAGCAGTCCTCCATAGTTTTAATATCCTGGTGAAATCTTTCACCTTGTTCTTCACTGGTTTCTCCTAAATTTTCAGGAAAACGGTCTAAGTGACTGTGTAAATAGTGCACCTTAATACTCATATTACACCCAAGGGATTTGAAACTGTTAAGCGTCTTGTTTACCAGTTCAACATAATTTTCAGCTTTGCGTTTGCCTAGAAAATTTCTGATAACTGCAACAAATGAAGTCCAGGCTTTTCGCTTAGCTTCGTTCATCGAATTTACGAAGGCAAGATCGTTAATGAGTTGTCTTATTTGTGGGCTGTCAAATATTTCTGCTTTAATTTTTTCTATACTTAACTGAGGCATTTTTTCCCCTATATATGCAAAGCATGATCCCTTCTTATCAAAAGCCTTTTACAAACTGCTTCATTAGACCTAGCTTGATGTGCAGTGGAGGAAAGATGATTTTCTCTTGTCCAACTAAGGGGTCGTTAATGACATTTTTTTCTCCAACGTCCATGTTTTCTCTCTTAGGACACTCTTTTCTAACCCAGTGGTGTGTTTTGTCTCTGCTATCCCAGAGGCACAAGAAGCAAGGATATTTGGTGTAGCCAATTTGCTGTCCAAGGAGAAAGTTTACCATTTTTAAGTCTACACAAATTACCCATTAATGTTCACGATACTTTATCTTCTCCAAGACCAGAGCTATAGTGTTATATTCTTCTTTCATTTTCGTTGAGTAAGCAATTGGTATTGAACCATATTTGTTCCCATTGTGTAGGACACATTTCAAACTTTGTTTTTAGCTGTCAATAAATAGGTGCCAATCATCTGAAAAATATTCAAGAAGGCCCATTTTTTCCAAGAGTCCTCTAATTTCGTGACAAAACACAAGATTGTCTTCTTGAGAGAAGAAGGGTAGCAGATCCTTTTCTCTTGTACGGTAAAAGGTAATTTTGGTTCCTTGCTCCAGTAAATTTTTCTCCTTCAACCTGGAAGCCAATAATTCAGAAGCTTCTTTTGGCAGGTTGAGATCTCTGGTGTGGTCATTTAACTCATCCTGGTTGAAACATTGAGGAATTGATGGCATTCTCTCGTAATCACAGTCACCTTCATTAGGATCAGAGGGATACTCATCCTCACAGAGCTCTGGTAGCTGGTGAAATGATGGAACTGGCACTTCCTGTGTGAGGGACCGGGCATCTTGCAGAGACTAAATCAGGATAAATCCACTTGCTACGGTTGTTACAATTGATTCCATTAATATTTACTAGGCAGAAATAACAGTCATTGAAGTGATTTTTGGGTTCTCTCCAAACCATCGGTACGCCAAATTTCAGACTTTTTCTTTTCCCAGTAGTCCACTGTCGTAAATGTTCTGTACAAGTTTTACAGATCTGATGCGGTGCCCAGCTTTTATCCTGATCACCAAGTTTAACACCAAAGTATCCAAGATAAGCTCTCTTTACAAAGTCACTAATAGTTTTTCTGTTTTCTTTTAATGTATGTTCTCCGCATATGTAGCAAAACACATCAGAATGATTTACATAACTTCTTCTACTTGAACTCATTTTATTTCTATTCAACAACACAAATAAAAGCATCTAGAACACAGTACTTTGCTCTTTGTTTCCCTTTCCTTCTACAACTTTCCTTTATAACCCTTTTCCCTTGGGGTGGGATTAACAATTCTTGGAACCACTGAGAACAAAGAGATGAATGAAGTCCTGATGCTGATGAACTAACTGGATGGCAGACTAACAATGGGGAAAATATACAGGAATCAATTCTTGCATATGTGATTTAGAACTGTACAAACTGGAATTAGAGCTGAACATTTCATGTAGCACTGTACGTTAAAAAAACACAGATCTAAAAAAGTAGAGCTGATAGAGAAAAACTGATTTCATATTTGGATTCAGCAACCCAAATATAGCTAAAATCAGTTCTAAAATCCTAGACACCAAAAAAAAAATTTTTTTTTGTTGACCTGTATAATCTTCAATTTAGAATTATTGTTTTCTCATCTCCAAATAGGTACTAAATAAAGTATGATTCTAAATCGAAATAATTAAAACAATATGAATGATATAAGTAATGAATTAACTGAAATATTTCCATAAATAACTAATTTGTCTTTAATGTTCTATCATTTGCTCTGTTTTTCAAACAAGTACTGTCAGTTTTTTTTAAAGAATCATCAGATTTTTTTTGAATATAATAAAATCATACAAATGTTAAAATTCATTCATCCAATACAATACTCTTGTTACATTTGTTATAATATTCTGTTAAATTCATTCAATGATTATCCTGTAATACATTTGTATAATTTTATAATATTCAACAAACATGAAGATGATCCTTTAAAAGAATTGAAAGTACTTGTTTGTAACACAAAACAAACATTGAGAAATTAAGAGTGAATTAGTTATTTATAATATGAGTTATAAATAGTAATGAGATTGGTCATATCTACAGCATGCTTATAGTGCTGCAGCACTCCCTTGATAGCCCTCTTCGTGCCCACAGGGCAGAAAGAATAAAAAAAAAGCACTCCCTTGATACCACAGCAACCAGTTTTACTTTAAAATAAAAATATAACAACTCATATTACATGAATTCAATGCCAGAAAGTAATTTTATTCAAGCAGAAAAATTTTAACTAATATTTCTCAGAAACACTTGTCAAAAAATGTGGAGCACAGAGTAAGGTAATTGAGTAACAGTCCCCAAAAAACACCTGAGGGCACTTGCCTCAGTATTTCCTGAATCTATCTTGAGAAGCATCCATATTCTCAAAATCCTGGATATTCCACTGAATGGGGTTAATATGAGTTTGAGATTTTGAAAGATGTGATTTTGGTGATAATTATGTCATCTTCAATGCAAAATCATGCATTTAGTATGGCATTTATAGTTTAAAAGGAGAGGGTTTGTGAAAAGTAAACCATTGTATAGAACAGGGAAGAAGACAGTCAGAAATGGCTCAAAAACTATGCATATAGATAGCCTTAACTCACAGAACTGAAAAGTTCTGTATTTGTGGGGAAGATGTATTCATGAGTATTCATTGGGATTATAATGCCAATGAATACTCATGAATACATCTTCTGCATAATGCCTTCCTTATATATAAGGAAGGCATTATATCAGCATTGAATTATACATTTTGAAATAACTTTATTTAAAAGTAATAAGTTAATTTCAAATTAAACTGGAAATGTTAAAAAAATGATTAAAAAAAATTGAACTACTTCCATTTTATAACAAATATGAAAACTTGTAAATTAATATATATAGTGAATGAATTATTGTTTAATTCACTTAACTCAAAATTAAAAAATTATAATTTCAGAAAAATTTAACTGCATGAAAGCACAAAAGAAAATGAAACTACAATCAGTTCTCATTAAGATAAATTACCATATTTACTCGCTTATAAGACGATCTCGCATATAGAATGAAGTGTGACTTTAAAGATCAAAATAAAGAAAATTAGATTTATTAATACAATTGTAATTTTATTTTGTTTAATCACAAGTAAAATATCAAATGAACATAAATGCATACATTGTCCTGCAAAAATTATTGGCATTTTAAACTTTAAGGAAAAATCTTGTAAAATCAACAACATAATTTGTTTATGTAAAGCTCAACAACTGGGAACCTTTTTTGCCAATTCTTAACAGTCGAATCCACTCTCTGTCGATTACACTGATGAGTTTCACCAAATTCTGATTTCTGAATAATCATCTGTTTTCACATGAGAATGGATTAAAACTTATATTGGGCTCCCATGTGATTTTTGGAATTTCAGTTTGGAATTCTATTGAAAAGCTTTTCTTTTTTTATTGCTATTCATCTTTACTCCTGACAATACACAAGAATGATGAAACTACTCAGATAAAATACTTTTGTTTTTTAAACACCAGAAGGTGAGCATCTGGTAAAAAATGCGAATACA